TCATCATCATCATCATCATCATTTCCAAAGCCAAAAATCTTCGAAGGAGAGAGTGAAATTGTTTTTTTCTTAACTCAAACATGCATTTTTCTGGAATCATGCACCCATCATTTGACCCCAGGAAAAGACACAGCTTCTTTAAGGAGAAGCTGACATTTCTGATTTTATTCTGATTCTTTAATTCTCTATGTTGTTTCTGCTGTATTACGGTATGCTAGATCTGACTAGTCATTGACTGTAAATAAACTTTACTATTATTATTGCTGAGAGGTACAGTGTATGTACTCATTCCTGTTTCCAAGTATTTTTTCCAGTTTTGGAGTCAAAGTGTTGCACATCGCTATTTTCTACTGTGAATGAAATATGCTATGGATTTGATGGAATTCTAAGTATCTCTGTATGAGTTAGGATTCTTTTTTGTTAAGAAATATACTCATGTTGCCTCATTCTTACTCCAAAACAGCCAACCTATCTTTGCATTCTATCTGCTATCTGACATACTCTATTGTGATTGTTTCAGGATACTAGGACTACTACACTGTTAGTATAGTAAAAAGGAACCTACTATTGGTGCAGTAGTGAGGGTTTATAAAAAAAACAGTTAAAAAAAATCTACATAGCATTGCACTAGTGTGGATCATTGCTTATCCCAAGCCCTATAGCACCTTGAGTCTTTTTAATGGACTGATACTCTTACCACTTAGAAGAGTTAAGTTGCTGAACTCATTCATGGAAACAAAGGCCGCCTTTTCTCTGATTCCATTACAGCTGGATAAAGCTTTATGTTTTTTCACACAAGCCAAACTGAAAGCACATAAGCAAAGAAATACTGTTATTTCGTTTTCAGCACCCAAGCTGAAAAAAATATGCCTTTGGTTTATACGTACCTGCATGAATATGTCATACATCGAGGGCATCTGTATTTTGCTGCTTCTGTGTTACAGAGTTCACATCTAAAAAAGGAAATTTGAGAACCTACATTTACAGGTGAACAGCATAGAGGAAATGTCTGTATACATGGGAACACTGGAAAAGACGTATTAGTGAAGAAAAATTATCCAGAACTTTTCACTTCTATTTAAATGCAAGCTCCTATTAGCAGCCTTGGGTATCTTCCACGAACTGGTTCCTTACAAATAAGTTCTGTCAGGATGTCTTTGCTATATCAGCGTTCTATTGCATTTCCTGCAAAAATACTGTTACTGATAATCTGACCCCCCGAAGCTTCCAATGAGAAACAACACAACAGGTTTCCACATCCTGTTAATAGCCACTGTCAGTATTCTGGCTTATCATGAGTGAGCAGCATCCTGATATATGATTTGTCACTTCTTGCCAGCAGAAGCAACTAAACAATAGAAACTCTTTTCCATGGTTCATTTAGCATGAAATGCAGTTGAGTAACTGGACTGATGCCCCATCTACTAAGCTAGAGATGATGCATCAGAGCTCCAACTGGCACATCATACTAAATCAGAAATACACAACCTGAACATGAGCAATTCATGATCTGCTCTACAATCAGCTCCTGGCTAGGTTGTTGCTCTTATAACTGATTGCACACTTATACTAAATAAAAAATCAAATCATAATGATGGGTTTCTGCAACATATTAAGCCAGTCACAATATGTGAGCCTAGACAATGTCGCCACTATTCTAAAAGTGCCTTTTTAAAAAAAAAATCACCAAACTTACATAGCTTTTGACTCTTCCTTTTTTATATTGTTACCATATCCGGGCTATAAAAAATCAGGACAACTCCTAATGGCTACAGAGGTACAGAAAACTAACTTCTTGGGGCCATCTAAGGTTTTCCAGTTTTTGCAGCCCAGATATGGTAGCCCTTACTCTCCTTTTTATGGATGTGTCATCTTCCAGCCTTCCAACAGATGATGGCTAATTTTTACTAGCTAAGTAATTTCACAAGAGTTCTTATTCAATTAGACATGCCTTATGAAAGTCTGAGTGTATGAACTGCCAAATGAATCTTCCAGAGGGAGAATAAACATACCTTTCCTCTATACACTGCTTTATGGACTGATCAGAGCATGATGACCTTGTTTACTTGGAACCAACTCAATTTTTACTTTTAATTGCTGTGAAGTTTTTCCTTTCAGAAAGGCCAAATATCATGTTGTTGGCTTAGCCTTTTCAGAACCGTGCTCTGAGCCTAGGTCAAACTGACCCAGATACAGTTTAACACAGTACATTCTGAGAATCCATACACTGTATATAGAGAGATGCATATCTATATCTGTATCTATCTATCTATAGAGAAAGGCCCTTTTCTTTAGGACTGCCACTACATCTAGTCTCTGGTCACTCATGCCCTGGCCATCTCCTGTATTAGACTATTGCAACACAATCTACATGGGGCTACTCTTGAAAAGTATCCGGAAGCTGCAGCTGGTGCAGAATGTGGTGGTGCAGGCACTTATGGGCACCTTGAGGATTGTGCATGTACAGTGGGGCAAAAAAGTATTTAGTCAGCCACCAATTGTGCAAGTTCTCCCACTTAAAAAGATGAGAGAGGCCTGTAATTTTCATCATAGGTATACCTCAACTATGAGAGACAAAATGAGGAAAAAAATCCAGAAAATCACATTGTCTGATTTTTAAAGAATTTATTTGCAAATCATGGTGGAAAATAAGTATTTGGTCAATATCAAAAGTTCATCTCAATACTTTGTTATATATCCTTTGTTGGCAATGACAGAGGTCAAACGTTTAAAACCTTTGGAGGGAGTTGAAAGTCCGTGTTGCCCAGCGACAGCCCCAAAACATCACTGCTCTAGAGGAGATCTGCATGGAGGAATGGGCCAAAATACCAGCAACAGTGTGTGAAAACCTTGTGAAGACTTACAGAAAACGTTTGACCTCTGTCATTGCCAACAAAGGATATATAACAAAGTATTGAGATGAACTTTTGATATTGACCAAATACTTATTTTCCACCATGATTTGCAAATAAATTCTTTAAAAATCAGACAATGTGATTTTCTGGATTTTTTTCCTCATTTTGTCTCTCATAGTTGAGGTATACCTATGATGAAAATTACAGGCCTCTCTCATCTTTTTAAGTGGGAGAACTTGCACAAAACCTTTGGAGGGAGTTGAAAGTCCGTGTTGCCCAGCGACAGCCCCAAAACATCACTGCTCTAGAGGAGATCTGCATGGAGGAATGGGCCAAAATACCAGCAACAGTGTGTGAAAACCTTGTGAAGACTTACAGAAAACGTTTGACCTCTGTCATTGCCAACAAAGGATATATAACAAAGTATTGAGATGAACTTTTGATATTGACCAAATACTTATTTTCCACCATGATTTGCAAATAAATTCTTTAAAAATCAGACAATGTGATTTTCTGGATTTTTTTCCTCATTTTGTCTCTCATAGTTGAGGTATACCTATGATGAAAATTACAGGCCTCTCTCATCTTTTTAAGTGGGAGAACTTGCACAAAACCTTTGGAGGGAGTTGAAAGTCCGTGTTGCCCAGCGACAGCCCCAAAACATCACTGCTCTAGAGGAGATCTGCATGGAGGAATGGGCCAAAATACCAGCAACAGTGTGTGAAAACCTTGTGAAGACTTACAGAAAACGTTTGACCTCTGTCATTGCCAACAAAGGATATATAACAAAGTATTGAGATGAACTTTTGATATTGACCAAATACTTATTTTCCACCATGATTTGCAAATAAATTCTTTAAAAATCAGACAATGTGATTTTCTGGATTTTTTTCCTCATTTTGTCTCTCATAGTTGAGGTATACCTATGATGAAAATTACAGGCCTCTCTCATCTTTTTAAGTGGGAGAACTTGCACAATTGAGCTGCACTGGATGCTAGTTTGCTTCCGGGTCCAATTCAAGGTGTTGGTTATGAACTTTAAAGCTCTTCATGGCATGGGCCCAGGTTACCTGAGGAACCATCTCGTCCCAATTACATCAACCCGACCCACCTGGTCTGGCAAGAAGGGCATGTTACGGATCCTGTCGGCTAAAGAATTTCAACTGGCAGGGTCTAGGAGAGCCTTTTCTGCCTGTGGAATATCTTGCCCCCTGAGGTGAGATTGGCCCCTTTTGGTCTTTCAGTTAAAACATGGCTCTTCCAATTAGCATGGGGATCACTTGGGGGTACGCAGCACTGGGGGTGGTTGATGGCTTGAAGTTTTGCCTCTCTGCCTTTTAGTTTTGTATATTTTTGTATAGATTTTTATTGTTTTTTTAATCGCTTTTTTACTTGTAAGCTGCCTAGAGTCTCTTGTCCAGTGAGATGGGTGGTGTATAAATTTGATAAATGAAATAAAATAATAGTCTGACAAGTTGCATCTGCAATGCTCGGTTGTATATTAAGATAAAAACCTAAAACAATGCTGAGCAATATTTGTGAAAAGAATAAGAGCCGCAGTAGAGCAATGATGCCTAGTTGGGAAATAATGCAAAGTAAGTAAGCAGGAGAATTTCTTAAAGGGAGTATTTAGATGGTTTTGCTTTTTAAATGTGTTATATCTATGCTAGGATTTATAGCATAATTATACTGGGATTTTCACCATAAAATGGTGAGAAACTGTACTGCTTACTTTTGGCAGTGTCAGAGGGACCTCCAGGCCTTACAAGAACTGGGTTCAAAGATCATAAGAGTACTCAGCTCTGAAATACAAAGTCAAATTTAATTTCAGTTTCTTTCCAATGGTTTCCAAAGCTGATTGACTGAGTTTTTTTTTTTTTTACAGAACAGCAAACATTTTTCTTATTTATACTGCAGACATGACAACTCTGCTGGTGCTTATATGAACATATGCAATAAAAAGTTATGTATGTATACTCCAAAGTGAATCTGATTAAGAGACCATGCTTGCCAGTCATGTGCACAAGGAAGCCAACAAGAAGTCTTTGAACTAAGCACACTTAGCCTTCTCCTGTTTTTTTCACATCTGTTTAGGAGTGTATGGGGTATGCATAAGTTCAACTCCATGTTAGATTTGAAAGTACAACTCCAAAGCACATTAGTCTAAATTAATGCAAAATGATATGGAATTGTGCCATGCCTCTGTGCCAAGCATCCTTCCTTATCAATATACTTCATAGGGTTGTCAGTTGCAGATGTAATTCTTTAATAATCTACTAATAATCTACAAAATATTGCTGAAAACATGTCAATACTCAGAAACTATTCTTCATGCTTTATTACTTGGCCCCCTCTGCAGACAGCTACAGTCACCTAAATCTTTATATACCAGATTTGAATATTGGAAAATGTTATTTCAAAAACCTTCTGAATATTCTAAGGGTTTAATCCAACTAGCACAACTATTTGGCTCTGATATTATAGAAGGGATTTAAAGAGTCACTTGAGGAATTCTCCACTTTAAATGGACAGCAAAAAGACTTTTGCACTGTATAATATTGTTACTCTCAAATGTTTCCATGCAGTTTTTCCACTTCAGCTTCTTATATTTAACTGGTACTTGCTTTAGATATTGTCCTGTTCCTGGTGAGAGGAAGATATGATTTATAAATCTAATTAAAAAGAAATCCCATATTAAAAAAGGATTGGCTACTATATCATTTCACACTACCATTTGCCCTGTAGCTGCTAAAGATAAAGGCTTATTCTGTGTAGAAGGGCTCCTATCAGATTAAACTCTGCCTCCTGAAAACAAAAATAATCACAATTTTTCTTCTTTTTTATTTTGTTTCTTTCTGGGTTACAGTATATATTTAGTGTATATATAAAATTCTCTAAAACCCATGTAGCAAATTAATTATAGGGCTGTGCTTAATACTTCAGGCAGTCGAGTTCAAAGGAAGTTTTCTGTGCATCTGCCTACCCTCCTCCCCAAGATTATTGGAATGGTGAGTGAGTGTGGACAAAAATATGTTTTAAAAAGGGGGAGAAACTATATACCAGTGGTTTAAACCTGCAGGGACGGTTTTTGAAATAAATGATTTCAACCAATTGGAGCTGAATTACAATTAGAGCTGGTTTAAGTACCAGTACTGCCTGATGCTGTTTTTTCATTTACATTTCAGCAATATACGCAATATAATCTGGGGTGCGGAAGAATCATTTTGTTGCCATTACATCTGTGCGGCTAGAATTCTGAAAAACTGGCTGATTTATTGAGAGACAACCGAGATCTACTTCCTCCCCTCCGCTGAGCTACATTATTGTACATTTCTAGAGCACGAGGCAAAGCAAAAGCTAACTCCCGTCTCCCACAACTAGCTTAAAAATAGCAGCAGAGCAGCCAACACTAAGACTGCATGGCCTTCCCGAGTGGATTCCGTAGTTCATTAGTCCACGCGTGAAGCATTAGTCACGAGGCTTGCTTTCTCTGCCCGCCATCGGGATGGCCCCTAGCTTCCGCCCGAAAAGCTCTGGCACCGCCACGCGCGAAGGAAATTCGTTCCGTCGGGCTGTAGCGAAGAGAGAGGTCGGAGGAAAGGGAAAGAAGGCGACGGCCTACCTCCGCAGCGACATCTTCCGCTGGAGGTTCTCGTCCGCCCCGCTCGGAGTCGCTCCCGTCGTGCTCGCCATGCTCGGCGCCGCGCTTGCTGCTGCCTAGACCGGCGCGTTGGCAGGGCCGAGCATCGTAACCTCGCGGGAGCGCGAGAGGCTGCCCTCTGGCGAGCGCGCGGAAAAGGAGCGCCGAAAACAAGCCCCTGGAATGCGCGCGAGGCCGGGGCAGCGTCCCAGCCTGAGACTTTTGGAAGAGAGGAGGGAGCCCAAACACGGGAGTCCCGGGTAGGGATATGGTGGTGGAGGAGTTCCTCTCTTCTTGTTGAAGAATCATGCGGAGGTGGTTGTGATGCAGTTGGCCATAGGCAGAGCAGGCTGCAATCCATAGTAAAGGTGTTGGTAACTGGGGATAAAAGGAATCTTCTAACACGTGGAGGGCTGCGAGTTGGGACCTGATTCCTGATAAGCTTCAGAGCCTCAATGGATCGGAAAGGAATGTAAGCGTTCTGGGTGTTAGTCTTTATTGTACTCTCGCTGTGTGGGACTTCCCCTGCCCTAAAGCCGCAGTTGCCACTTAGAGCACATCGCTCTTTACGGTAGTATTAGTATTTCATTCTTGACGGAATTGCGGCTCCAAACACAGGCTTCTGGGGATTTGCGGTATCTGGTCCGTGGTTTCTGGAGTGTCAATCTTTGCCTCCTTGTATTTCGTGTCCCTTGGAGGCAACATAGCCTGCCTTGTGTTTTGGTCTTAGTAATTTACCAAAGGTGTGACAGTTAATTCTATATTACTGTTATTATTTTGGTTTTTATTGTACACCACCATGAAATCATGTATGTAAAATCAATACATGCAATAAATGAGAAAAGGGACTTGGAACAAAGGGAGATAATGGCAGGCCTATGAACAGTTGCATTTCTTTCTCAGCAAATATTGTATGATTGATAATTTGCAGAGATGCAATGCTTGATATTACAAATTAGCCACAAGTAGAAACAATTATGCATATTTTACATACTAAACCAATTGAAGTCCCACAGTTGGGACTGACAACTCTGCCACTAAGCAGCATGGGGATAAAGTGGAATGTCATGTGACTGCGCCCAATTCAGTTCTGGTTGTTAGAAGAATCACTGCAGGTTGTGACTGCAACTTGTGAATTCCTACTAGCTTCCCCATTGACTGGTTGTCTGAAGTTGGCTGTGATCACAAATGGCGATCACGTGACTATGGGACATTGCGACCATTGTAAATGCATGCTGGTTGCCAAACACCTGAATCATGATCATGTGATCGTGGGGTGCTGTGATGGACACAACTTTGAATACTGGACGTAAGTCTCCTTTTTCAGCGCCCTTGTAACTTCAAACAGTTGCTGAACGAGTGATCAGTAAGCAAGGGCTACCTGTAGTTCAATCCTGGACCCCAATCACTTTAGGCATTGAGCTGGGTGGTAGGAAGGACCATGTTCTGGAGGCACTTTTACTCTCTGATGCTCTGAGTTCAGCAGTGCATGCTGTAGCAACGCAAGGGAAGAAAAGGGCTGGGGAGAGGATTAGCTTCATTGGTTCAGCCTGTTAAGCTAGCACAAATTTTTCTGCAATAAATATACATAAATGGTCAATAGTCACCACTAAGGATTCCTGGTATACTGGTTAAGGTGGAGCCCGTGAATGAGCAGTGATTCACTATTTATTGAATTTCTGGACTTCTCTTACCCTGGATAATTTAAATGATGAATGGATGTGTTGTCCTGTCTGCAGGGCAATAAGAAAGCCAGTATTTGACTTTCTAAGTGGATGACGCTTATCATTTTTATATGGAAAAAGTCCTTGGCAAAGCTTTGGATGGAAAAGCAAAATAACTATATTTTCTCTCCTTGTTGATTGCACTGAAAGCTGCTTACAACATTGCCCTAGATAAGAATTTGGGGAGAAAAGAACCTCAGTCAGAGACCCAACTTCTCCTTGAGATGGGAGACCTCCAGGGAATACACTGGGAGGCTGGAAAAACATCTCAGCAAAAGTAACGACAAACTGTATCTGTATTGTGGAGTCATTGGTGCTCTCTAAGCTTGGTTGTTGCTTGCAGATGTTTCAGTACCTGATTAGATAACATCAGTGCTAGTGAGTGTGGGGTTTTCTCCCTGCCAGTGTTGGTGGGGGTGTAGTTTATTTGTATTGCTGCCAAAAAAAGACCAGTTAATGTCTGTGTCTATTAAATCAATAGTCGACCTTGACAGGAAGAAGACCTTATCATCATCATTATTACTGTTTGGTGTTTCAGAATGGTCTACTGCCAGAAATTGTTCCAGAGCAAAGCTCTAATGAACATGTTTGTTTAATCCCTGTGGTAATTGTTAGTGTCCCATTATGCCATTTAGGAATAATTGCAACAGATATAAAATGCTCTAGAGACGACATGAATTAAGCATGGGACTGCATTATAAATGAGATCAGATTTATGATTGACCCTTCCTTAAGAGTCTCATTGGTAGGATCATCTTTGTGTTAATTATTTTGCAGACTGGAGTTAGCTTGGGGTAGGGTTAGGGTGAAACAGTGATAATGTACAGCATGTTTGTACAGCATTACCACTGCTTTCTAGTACTAATAAAATTTCCACTTAGAATACCTGAAATAATGTCATTCATCAGAGGATGTACCATTACATCCAAGGGTGTAAAGTTCTTTGTATAACTGCAAAAGCAGTATTTTGAGACTTGGGTTCCATCTTGTCTCTTAATTTTAAACAAACATGGTAATAACAAAGCAAACATTTCTGAAATGTTTAGAGAATAAGATTCTTTCCGGAACAAAAAAGCTTACAATTATTAAAAACAATTTCTTATATTTTACAATTCATCAAAATCATGAGATAAAGATAAAATAACAAGCCAACAAATGAAAACTGCATAAGAACATACTTGGGTAGTGGTAGGTAAAAAAGGGTTATACAAGTTTGAAATTTAAAATTATAACTAATGAATGTTAAACAACAAATTTTTGATTCTGTATCATACACGTATAGCAGGACTAATCAACTTGTTATGTTTCCCTTTAACTGGTCTCCTGTGGATCTAGTAAGGATGCAGTGGTAAAACTATGTCTGGAAAACTAGCATATCAAAGAGAAAATTGGTGTAAATATTTTACTCTGATGTGTTCACTTTCTGTGGTCAAAAAAATGCTTTAAATATTTTTCCTTCCCACTGCTTGAAGTTGTGCGTTGTAGATTTTATTCTGCTCTCAGTGACTATTTAGTCAATTATTTCAGATTCAAGCTGCAATAAACTTATTTGAATAAATTTACAATGGACAGTGACATACTAAATTAATCCATCCCATCCCTCCCAAATAAAGGAAAGCAAGATTGGCCTGTCTTCTTTGAAGGGTAGTATTAAAGTATCTGATACTTACTGAAAAGTCATTAAAAAGTATTTGGCCCAAAATGAATAAACTCATGAAAATAAACTATTCTGGAACAAAAGCACAGAACTCCCAAAGCGACTTATTTAAGAGTATAATTTAATAGGAGCCATTTAAATATATGTCGTATTAACATTTTCAACAGTTACAAAATATTTACACAATATATAATTATAGATGGCCTTGGATAGTTAACATCTTTAAGATCATTGTATGTAGTCCTTCTACAAGTACAAAATTCTGTTTTTTCTATAAGCACCAGATATGTCTGTTCCATATAACCATTTCATGTTACAGACAGAAATATTTCAAAACAAGATTTTCACATAAATAATGTTTTCAGTTATCATGAAATATGTGACCAAATATTTTTAAGACACAATTTTACAATGAAAAGTTCCTTTGATGTAACCAGTACATACAGCCTAAAAAAAAGGTAAAGAAAAAAAATAACACTTTGTGTTATATATGGAGCGCCAGGCCACACAAACAGGAAACATAAAGAGGTAGTGGATCATCTGTAAAGATGGTTGTGTCCGAAAAGGACCATAATTCAACTAAAGTTTTTTTTAAAAAAATTTATATAATTTTTATTAAAGATTTTTTAAAAGGAAGATAAAAACTAGCACAAACTAAAGTAAGAAAAAGAAAAGGAAAAAAAAGCTAAAAGTGCAAGAAAGGGGGGAAAAGTAAAAGAAAAATAGAAAAGAAAGAAGATACAAAGAAGTAGCTTCCAATCTTCTTTACAGCAGTTACAAGTACAATTATAAATTTACCTTTATTCAATGGTTACAACTGAACTTTCTTCTTTCTACCATCTATCCTGTCTAATCATCAAAACCACAAATCATAAGTTCATTTTTTTCTGTTTTACACAAAAAGTCCATAAGGAGTTTCCAGTCAGCAATAAACATAGATATTGCCTTTTTGCTGATCAAAGAAATCAATTTCACCTCAAACAAGTCAATTTAGCCAACGAAGTCAATTTAAGAGATTTTATGGTGGTGTAATTTATTGTCAATATAATACAAGCTATTGCACATTTGGGAGCATACACCATACTGCTCCTTTTTTTACTGCATTCTTCCATCTTTCTTTAAGGTGTCCTGGACAGTGCTGTTAATAAAATCAAGAACACTTGATTTTCTGAAGAATTTCCATATATGTGTATTTTTTAGTTTAGAGAATAACATAAAAAGCACCAACCAAAAATTAAATAGTTTATTAATATTGTCAAGATTTCTTTCTTTCTGAAGCCATTTCTCCTTCATAGGAGGAAGTCTTTTTCTTCCTGAGATTCTTTAAGAAATCACCAGCTTGTTGCTGTACAATTCTTCTATGGTTTCATAATTATGTCCTGTGTCCTGTATATGGTGATAGGAGGAAGTTTACTTGGAATCCTAGAGAAAACACACCGAGCCACTTTCTATGTAACGTTGTTGTCCCTGCTTGAGATGAAAAAATGGATGAACCTGAACAACTGGTAATTGATTGGTATCTTGAGTGTGAAAAAGAAATTGAGTTTTATGCCAGCTGCCATCTTGAATCTGCAATAAAAATAAGAAAGCTAATGAAAACTTAAAAACATAGATTTTATCTAATCTTTACAGACAAAATCAACAAAGAAGCAATAGTTATTACCAAG